TTATTGTTATGGTATATTCGTTTTTATTATTAGTTGTATTATTATTGGTATTATCATTATTTTCATTATTATTATTGTTATTGTTATTATTGTCATTGTTGTCGTTATTGCTGTTATTATTACTACTACCATTATCACTATCGTTATTGCAATCATTAACATTCTTATTACCATTATCGTCGTTATTATTATCCTTAATTATTACTTTTGCTTGAAATGTTAGGGCTTTGAGAGTGTAGCTGTGGTAAGTCAGTATGGTACAGACTGCAACGAGGCTGCTGGTCATGGGAAAGTTTGTTACTAGTGACCGGACACCACTTTTATTTGCAGGTTTCTGGCGAATTTGGGGCCGGCTGGCCTTCACAAGTTGCTGACTGCCTTCGACGACAAAAGCGCATATGCGGTGTGTACATTCGCATACAGTGAAGGCGCCTCGAAACCTGTGAGGATTTTTCGGGGTAATTGCTTTCGAGTCTCGCGACGGCTGCTGGCTACACCACTGCGGTGAACTAATAGCTGTTTCAAGTACCAGGACCTCGCTGGCGACCTGCTGGCCGATTCTTGTCTGTCGATGATTTGTGCCAAATTCAGAGTTTTTCAGGACAAACCGATGGGAGAATTGTTGAGCCGCGAGGCGAGACCTATTTTGGCTGGGATCCGTGCTTCGAGCCAGAAGGCTTCACGCATACATACGCCGAAATGGGCCCGGCCATCAAGAATACAATAAGTCATCGGAGTAAAGCGCTGAAGGCCCTCAGAGAATTCTTTTACAGTGAAAATTGACCTCTTCACGTGCTTTGGCCCGGGCCAGTAATGATCACCATCAGTAGTAACCTGCATGCTTAATTACAAATATTGGCGTACTGTGATAACAAATTTGTTATTCGAAGAATAAAGTTAATTTTGGTTTGGCAGTCTGTCCCGGAATTTACACAGCCCAATTTCTTATATTTGAGTGTAAGCAAGGGGTTTTTTTTGCAGTAATGGGACCCATCTTTCATAAAGGAGTCCAAGTTATGTGATTTCCTTTATAGGAATAGGAGAGCGAGGTAGGGGGATGTGGGAGGGGAGGAAGCTGAAGACCTTCCAAAATCAGAGAAGTGCAAATTTCCGTTAGCTTATAAATATGGCAAAATAGAATGTGTATTGTCGTGATGTGCGAGGGTAATGTAGCGCAGTTCGTTGTGGGTTAGTGCAGTAAAAGTGGAGGAGCAGCATGCGGGAGAGGGGTCTCACGTGAGCAGTCCGAGTTGTATTGAGAGTTCGATTTTATTTTTTTCCATAGAACTATGCTTAATTTAAGTCATCCTTGTATCTGTTA